AGTTAATGTAGCATTAGAGCTATACTTATGAGCTTTTGGCGGCGGCTTGGGATTCACATGTACTCTACACTACCATAATTTATATCGGAAGGCCGATGGGGGAAGTCGGAAGGCTTCATATCATCATCATGGATCATTATGCATCACTACATTCCTAAAAAGTCCTTTTTCGTCTCTGAAAACGGAGAAAAACTGAATTTTTTATTTAGGCTTAAAATTTTGAACACTCTCGTGATTAAATTATTGGGACTATGCTTTCCAGACTGCGGCTGCAATCAATATTTTGAGGGTCAAAAATTCAAATCTGTCGTAAAAAAGGTATGTTTATTCAGAATAAGTACGTTTTGTGTCTAAATTCGTAACTTCAATCATCGCTTGTACAAATTAATTAGCATATTTAAGGTTATGCGGCATGCAATTAAATTTCCTACGCGGTACTTTCTTTGCACATGCACATGAGTATTAAAGCACTGTTGGACCAGTTAATATAGTAAAAAAAAGGAGTGTTTCTTCTAAAAATTAATACCCAATATATTTACAAAAAAAAGAAACTTTTTATTTTATTATAAATGATGTCTGAAAATTCCTCTAAGCTACTCTATACGCTTCACTCCTTTTTTGAGGTAAATAAAGGGAAATGTAATTTTTTGTAAGAGAGCTAGCGAGAGGAATTGGTTCCAATGTGTTTTCCCACTCTAAATTGAATGAAACAAATCCCAAGACATTCGGACAAATAGTTTAGACGTTATAAGGGTTTTTACAAAAAGTACAAATTTTTAGTACTTATTCCTATTTGCGCACCTCATATCACCTATGTATTATTTTGTGTTAAATCGAATGAGAGTTTACGCGAGTCGATTGGATGAATAATTAAATGGATGAATGGAAAGAATAATTAGAAAGCATTTTTGAGTATGAAAAGCTTTTACGTGGTTTAGAACACCTTTTAAATTGCTATTTAGGAGCTATCCGAACACGTGAGAAACATTTTCCTATGAAATTTTTAATATTGAACTGAATGAATAAATTGCGAGTGAGAGGATAGTCTTAAAATTATAAGGGTTTTCTTCGTGCAATTCAAAAACAGCATACTTTATACAAAAAAAAAAAAAAAACAATTTAAACTTTTGAAATGTCAGCCCTTTTCATTCATGTTTGGTCGTATTCAATTAAACAAGAAAAAATACACTGGAAACAATACCTCACTTGTTTTTATAGCAATGCAAGGTACTCAAATAAGTAGAAAAATTGCACTTTTCGTACAAAAAATGCTTTTAACTTCTGAATTTTTTGACCCATTTTCTTGAGGGTCTCATTTCATTCAGCGTGAAAAAATAAATCGGAAAATAATCTGCCTCATTCTTTCCTGTCTAGAAATTTTTTTTTTTAATTCTCTTCCTCAAATCTCTTCCGTTTCCCACAAAAAAAAATTGAAAAGCGTGCATAGAAGAGTAGAGGAGTTTGTAGGTTTTTAGTTAGCTCAGTATTTTTAGTATAGTTAGTTTTTACTAGTTTTTTTTACATAATAATAATATGAAGAGTTTGACTGATGTAAGTGCGCAAGAGTCTCTCTTATAATTCCAGAACCGTTTGTGCTATCGTCCTGAAATTTGGACAGTGGGCAAATGGGCAATTTTGGCTCAATGATCCTGAAAATTGTTCAGAATTTTTATTTTTGAAGCGAATGTTGAGAACTGGAATTTTCATTAGTTTAGAGCTAGCATCATTTATATGAATTAAACTGCAGGAGATTCTGAGTTTTCAAGTATTTCAAAGATAGTATCAGTGATGTCTCCTTGCTTACAGCTTTCAATAATAAATTTCAAAAAAATGAGATAATCACACGTTCTATAATATCTAATTATTGTTTATTCGTTATGTAAGATAAACTCAATGATGAACGTGAACATGGTAGCATAAGTGAACTACGTCAACAATTTAGTATTTCATAAGTATAATCTAAAATCTTCCAAGCTTAAACAATCCAAACTTTTTTTTTTGCAATTATATTTTTTTGATTAAACTAAATTTAAAATTAACTATAATTGAAATAAAAAAATAAGTTGTGTAGGGGAGAGTGGGGTCAATTGTAACATTTTTTACTTAACTATTTTTAACTAACAAAAAATCCAATATATTATTAGTATTAATTGACAGACGAGTAAAGTAAACTATCCTTTACTAGAAAAAAAAAATAAATACCTTATTTTGAACGTTATTATATTAGTTATTAATAATTTTTGACAGTCGTGCACTTGTTACAATTGTCCCCACTTATGGAGTCAATTGTAACAGTTCATAAATTCAAATAAAACATAGTTAATTTTACATATTATCATAGTTGTGATACATTTTTTTATTGATCAAAATAGTAATGATATTTTAGGAGTAAAAATAATAATGAGCAGAGACCTCAAGGGTTAAACTTTTAACTTTAAAGGGTTAAAAATTTTAATTTATGCTGTGAAAGGTGATAAATAAAATAATGCACAAGCAACATAATATAAATGATATAGGAAACTATTGGTGGTTCTTAAAGAGTTAAGTAATGGTTTGTAAACATAAGATTATTTATTTTCCGCTGTTACAATCGTACCCTTTACTTATAGTTACAATCGTCCCCAAGACACCATTTCAGCTTCATTTGTTAAAAACAATGCTAGTTAATTAACAAAACTAATCTTTTTTTTGGGAAATGTTAATTAAGGTGTCCACTTACATATTCGGTTAATAATTTTTATTTGTTTAAACAAAATTACTTTGTTACAATATAATATTCTAATACCATAAAAGTACTTACGTAGCGTGAAAATATCTTTTGTGATGTAACTCTTACAAAAGTACATAAAAATGGTTGCCAGCAGGGGTGTACATGTAGATTTATAAAATACGCCTTGAGCGCCACCTAGAAACGAAATCTAGAACCCGGCACTCGAAATTTTGCTCTGTTACAATCGTACCCTGTTACAATTGACCCCACTCTCCCCTACTTATATGTAAAATTAATAAGGAAATGGTTTTGATTATTTCAAGAAGAAGGTAAAAATTTGCTATACTATTTTTTACCCCCATTTGGCTTGATAATTTTTGATAATTTACTAATTAAATTAACTTGATAATTTTACAAATTGGAATAAAAAAACTACGTACTTAAGAGCAAAATTAATGAAGAAATTATGTTAATTCATTTAGGAGAAGCGTATTAAAAATCTTCATACTATTATTATTGCCCATGACGGTTAATTCGTTTTGATATTATTTTCTAGCTGAAACAAAAAAATAAGCTAAGTTCTAAAAATCAAAATTAAAGAGAAACGATACTAATGCGTATAATTCAGAAAAAAAAGCAAAAACTCACCTTAATATTTTGAGGTTAATGATGATTTTGGTAATTGGTGCTAATTGGAATAAAAAATAAATAAATTACGTACCAAAAAGAAAAAATAACGGAGAAATGGTACTAATTCGCTTTAGAGAAAAATAAAAAATCGCCATTCAACTATTGAATCCATTGATGCTTAATTAATTGTGATAACAAATACTAATTAAAATAAAACTATAAGCTATGTACTAAGAAGCAAAACTAGTGGAGAAATGGTTCTAATTCATTTAGGAGAAAAGTAAGATTTTACCATTGACGCGAATGATTCTTAACTATTTTTACGTTTAGTTAATTTTGTTAACTTTAGTTAACTTTTGTTAACTTTTAGTTAACTTTACTGGTATTTACTGGTTAATTGGCTTTACCGGTACAATTAGTACATAATAAAACTGCATCATTACCGTATGGTTTTAATGTAATGTTAAAAGATGCCTTATACGGCTCCTGAAAGGGATAAGTAGTTGAGGAAATCGCATGATTTTGGTAAATTTTGACAACAGTTTCATATGAAATGATACCGAATCTTTAATTGGATGAGTTACAAATAACGTGTTTTGCTTAATCTAATAACGTAAAGTCACAAACGAGAGCAAATGAAAAAAATACATAAAAAATTAGAATTTTTTTAGCTTTATTGTTAATTGTATTGATATATTATTATGTTAATATTGTATGTTAATTGTATATTATATGTATTGATATATTATATGTTAATTGTATTGTATTGTGTATGTCTTTTAATTCATGCATGATTTTAATTTTTGCATGCTCAGTCCTTATTTATTTGTCACTCCGTGCAGTATTCATGTGTTCGTATCTTTTCTCACCCTGTTAGGTATTTAGCTAGTATCAAGATAAAAAAATCTTGGTTATTTTCACTTGGTATTTTTGGGAGTTTAAATTATTGAGTTTCACTAAAATTACATTGACAGTTATTTCATTTTACTTAAATTAGTATGAATTCAAATAAAATTGAATTTTTGATAACGTTATTCATGTGTTTTATATTTTTCATTATTTTAAATTGTAGTATGTTTTATTTAAATTTTGTAGTTTATTTAATTTAATTTTGATTATAACTATATTTCATTTTAATTTAGAAAAAATATTTAAATTTTTTTTAAATAATTTTTCAAATGTTTGATTATTATTTAATTATAATTACATATTATAAGTTGAGTTAAATTGTTTGAATACATCGTTTAAGATAGAGTTATTGTATGTTAAACTGATATTTAAATTTATTTTCGTATTCAAACAATTACATTTTATTTGCTTAAATTAGTATCATTGCATATTTAATATTTCATTTTATTCTGTATTTCCATCAAAAATTATTTCTTCAAAAATAAATTAGTGATGAATGCAGCCTTTTTAAACACCTGTATTTTAACTCTTTTGAATTTGCTTGACAGTCAAAATGGAGCAACTTATAAATTATAAAGGATTCATAATAATTATTAAGTTGGAAAATTCGGATAATTAAAAATAAAATGTATTTTTTTTTTGGAATTGAAGAGCTTTGTGATTACAACAAAGACATTTTCGTAATATGTTGCGTCACAATTATTAAATTACGTTGTTTTGCAATAAAATTGCATTTTATAACCAGATGATTCACGAATTCTTAGAAAGCTCTTGTTGGCAGCGCCCTCTTTAGTCAAAAGATAAAACTTCTTTTTCAGTTAATATAGAGAAAATCGCTCATTTTCGGGTAAGTGCATTTTATTTTCTTAAAAATTTGAGAATTTCTAAAAGATCATAGTTTTCAGTTTTTTAAATCAGAGGGAAAAGTTCTAGAATTCAATGAAGTTTTTATTTTTAATCTTTTTAAAAACAAATGATTCATAGCATTCATTTTTATGCATTTCCTCTGTTAGTTTTTAGAATATAGAGTTGAGATATTAATTATTTTTTTGGATTATTTTGTTGCTTTTACATTTAAAAGTATACATATAAATATTAGTTATATGTAAATATAATATTTAGTATATTATATTTCAATAATTGCAGTTTGATAAGTTACATATTATTCCAGTATAATTATAAAGTCTTTTGAAAATGAGATTTTAATATCTTGCTATTTTTTTTCTGAATCGTGAAAGTTTTTTAAAAAAATTTGAAAGCTTAAAAAACATTACACTAATATTTTTTTTAAATCTTGTTTTTAGAATCAGATATAAACATTAACAGTAGATGATAGTATTGATTTTTTTGTTTAGTTCAACAAAAATGTTAATTACAGATTTCTCTTTTAATAGATAGTTTAAAGAGAGATTATTTTGAGATTTGAGAATGTTATTTAATGACATTAAAAATTTGCTGTTCCCCTTTAATATGATAACATATCATTTTTTACTTAAAATATTTAAAAAAAATCTTTTTATTGAATTTTTATGTATGTCTTTAATTAATTTTTTTACTCGTCATTATTTTTAGATATTGTTATTTTTTGAGGAAGTTTATAATACAACTAAACTAGTAAAAGTAAGACAGAAAAAACAGCAGGCAAAGATAAGATGCGAATGAACGAATGTGGGGTGCATTACTGAATCGGCTTATCAATGAATAGTTAATGGATAAATTAAAAAAAACCCTTTTTAATCCAAAATTTTTGGTTTGGCCAAAGTTTTCCCAGTTCTTTTTAAACTCCATTATTCTAGAATTTTCACGAACGAAATTGCAACTAAAAGCATTATCACGTATATAGAAAGTTGATCTGTTAAGTTTAACATAAGAAACACAAAGTGAATAGTGAAATAAAAATTATTCTTGTATAAAGGTATGTTTAGATGGTTTCTATGCTGCATAACAGGTGATTAACATCTAACGGTTTTAGTTTTTTTACACTATATTCTTTTAATAATGGGCAAGTAAAATACTTTTTTCATTTAAAAAGAAAAATGCATTTTTTTAGAATGCCATTTTTCTGAGAAATTATTTTAAATTTTAACTTTTTTTCATTAAAAAAACTATGTTTTATTTTTTAACATTTATATTTATTTTGATTTTGAAAAATAAATGCATCGTTTTAGCAAAAAAATTTCAAAACACTAATTAAATATTTTTAATTTTAATTATTTTTGTAGGTATATCTTCATGTTTATTAAAAAAACATGTTCATAAGTTTGCTATTGTTGTATGTTATTGGAATGGCAAATGAAATTGTGAAAGGACAGCTTCATGCAAAGGAAACTAAAATTGACACTTCCGATGGTAAGCATATATTTTTTGAAATTCTGAAACTCGACTAAAATTTTCAAACTTTTAAATTAAAGATTTCGAATCTGTGTAATAGTATCTGATTGTTCTATATCTTCTTTCTTTAATTTTTCGGAACCAATTCAAAAAATACGAAAATAATATTTTTCATTGAGGAATCAAAATTCAAATTCTGATTTCTCAAGTTTGAACTCAAATTGCAGAGGTATCTAGACTGAGGAAAGGATGCCAAATTTGTCATATATTGTCCGTTACTTAATTTTTGTCTCTGAAATGAAAAAAATGAATTATCTCTGCTTTGCAGAGTCATTCCTAAAATTAATCATATTTTTTTCAGGCAAAATTATGCCAATATAATTGTGAAAATAACATTTTTGGAAAGATGTTCAGTTTGGATTAGTTTAGATTAGTTAAATTCAGTTTTTTTTAAATCTTCGTTCTTTGATAATTTTTATTAAAGTAATTTTTAAAATCCTCTAAATAAAAAGAAAAGAAATTCAAAAGAACATTATAACAAAATTTTTTTCAAATCCTCATAACATTATTGTTTCAAATTTTTGTAAAAATATCCATAAAAGTTCCAAAATTTTTCATGGCTTATTTACTTCAATTTAATAAAACAGTCTTTTACCTATTCATTTTTTTTCTTTTAGTCCTTAGCTTCGCGCCAGCATTTTATTTACTTAACTGCATGATGTAATGATAATTCTTGATCCATTAAGAGTTCCTCATCTTCATAGAAGTACTTATAATAATATATTCAAAAATGATGCAAATAGTAAAATTTAAACCACAAATTGATAATATTCCTAATAAACTTTTCATAATAGTTTAATAAGCAATAATAGATGTTGAACCATCACTTGATAACTTTAATTTCCTGGCAGTATCTCTAATATTTTTTCCACAATACTTAAAGTAGCAAAAGTTAAAATATAAATTGAGCAAAGTTTTAAGGCAGCTTTGCTTATAATTTTTCCAAATAGGGAATATTTTTAATAACTTATTCCAAGGATGTAAATAGTAAAACTTAAACCATAAATTGATAATATTAGTAATAAACTTTTCATAATAGTTTAATAAGCAATAATAGATGTTTAACCATCACTTGATAACTTTAATTTCATGGCAGTATCTCTAATATTTTTTCTACAATACTTAAAGTAGCAAAAGTTAAAATATAAATTCAGCAAAGTTTTAAGGTAGCTTTGCTTATAATCTTTCCAAATAGGGAATATTTTTAATAACTTATTCCAAGGGTGCAAATAGTAAAACTTAAACCATAAATTGATAATATTAGTAATAAAATTTTCATAATAATTTAATAAGTAATGATAAAAATTTTGAACCATAATTTGATAACTTTAATTCTTTGGCAGCATCTGTAGTATTTTTTCTACAATACTAAATGTAGTAAAGGTTAAAATATAAATTGAGCAAAGTTTCAAGGTAACTTTGCTAATAATTTTTCTAAAGATAGAAGCATTTTTAATATTTTTTTTGCAAGGGTACAAATAGTAAAATTTAAACCATAGACAAATAACATATATAATAAACTTTTCATGATAGTTTACTAAACAATAATTATTGTTGAAAAACCATTTGATAACTTTAATTTTATGACCACTTCTTTATTATTTTTTCTACAATATTTAAAGTAGTTAAGGTTAAAATATGAATTGAGAAAAATTTCAAGGTAGATTTGCTAATAATATTTCCAAGTATGGTAAAAAATAATCTTCTATTTTATGAAATCAATTTTAATTTTTATACAAAACATATTCTTTAAGTATATTTCTAAATTTTATTTTGAAGCACCGAACTCTTAAAATTAATTCCAAATATTTCAAAATTACTTTTTGTCTTTTTAACCATTATGGTTTTTTAACCGTGGTTTAGGATACTGCAACACCGAGGAATATGGAAAAATTCCAATTAGAGGAACAGGCTACAGTGATCCTAAAAAAGGCTGTAAAATTGCTGCCTGTTATGATGGAAGACTATTTGAAAAATCGTAAGTTTTTGCCATTTATAAATTATTTACTTTTAGTATACGCATGTAAAAATATTGGAATTTTTACTCCAACAATTTTGGTTCATTTGTTTGAAAATTTAACGGCTTAACTTGTATTGATATAATTATGATATTGATTGCAAACATAATAAATGAATCTAAATTTAACTGAAAAAAATTGTTTTTCTCTTTCTTTTTTTTGTTTTGGAATTTAAAATGCGTTTATGGTTAGAATTAATCAAATATCGTTGCAAATCATTTATTTTCGAATTTCATTGGGTTTCTTCACTGGATTCACTGAATTTTTTATGTAACGGTTAAATTCAGCCAAAAAGGCTTAATGGATTGTATTTATTGAGGAGGAGTTTAAATTAAATAACAATTTAATTTTTTACATTGCAGGAAGTTATATTTAAAATTGATTAAAATTGACGTTTAACTTCATTTTTAGACAATTTCATTTTTTATCACAAAGGATCACTTTCTTAATTTTATGATTCTACGCTTATTCTTGTGTGACAGATAGAGTTCTCAATAATATTTAATTTTCTGAACAAAATAACAGCTTATAGTACTCTAAAAATACAGGATTCAACATTTAACAATAAATTAAATACTATAACGGCGTGAAATTTTAAATTAAATTAGATGAAAACTGAAACTGTAGTTGAAACTGTGAGAGTGGAAAAAAACTGTTGCTTTGAGAAAACGCTCTTTAAAATTTGGAAATATCTTATTCGATTCAAAAACGTATATTTGATAAAAAAAATAAACACGTAGTTTTCTTATTTGTGTGATATTCAATTTATGTTTTTGGCGCAATAATCTCAAATGTATATGAAGTCGAAAAATACAAGGTGTCCTGCAAAGGCCGCACTTAATACATATAATTTGAAACCCTGTAAAAATAGAAATAAAGAAACTGTGTTTTTGAAAACCATTCTGAAGCTTTACCAATCATTATTGAGGTCAATAAAAGTGATGAAGGGATGAAAATAATCTAAGGGATAACTTTTTAATTCCTTTTTTTCACAGCGAATTGTTCCAATGTCTCAATAATTTAAAGGATAGAGTTAATTAATCTAAATAATCTCTGAGGATAAGCTTTAAGGAGGTTTATAGCGAAAGGCGAATGCATTCAAGTCTACAATAATAATAAACTGGTATTTTTCTTTAAAATTCACCTTTGCGCAACTTAAACAGAACAATGATTAGTCAGAGTTCGAAGATGTTTTAGATTTTATTCATCAAAGCATTCGTGCGACTCTTAATTTGACTAGTTTTTAAATATTTTCAAGAATTTAAATTGTTATTGTTATTGTTGTTAATTTACGTCGCACTAGAGCTGCACAATGGGCTATTGGCGACGGTCTGGGAAACATCCCGGAAGGTGATCCGAAGACATCCCATCACAATTTTGATCCTCTGCGGAGGGGATGGCACCCCAGCTTCGGTAGCCCGACGACCTGCGCGCGAAGTCGAGCACTTTACGGTAGCACAGTTTAACGAGGATCAATACCGCATACCCTCGGTCCCTACGCAGACTGATCCAAGTGGTCACTCACCCGCACACTGACCGTAGCCAGTGATGCTTGACTTCGGTGATCTGATGGGAACCGTGTCTTAACGATCAGTCCACTGCGGGACTCAAGAATTTAAAAAATATATGCAAAGGGTGGCCATAACGTAAAATGAGCATTAGAATTAAATGTACACATGGTTATCATACTTCTAAGAATTATTGTTGGACGAAATTAATATACAATGCAAATATACACGGAAAATAGTTTAAAAAGGAAAAACGTTATAACACTTTAACTCAATTTGTATACTATTATATTGAATTTCATATTTTCCTAAAACCTACCTATATAAGTGAATAGTGTTGTTTAATACTATAAGATCCTAAATTTGGTGTCTGCAGACATGAGACTGGAATGGTGAATCTATTGTTTGACAATTTTACTGTGGCTTTTACCTTTACGTTAATTTATTTGTCCTTAAATAAGCTTTTTCCAATAATCATTTAAGAATTATAATAAGTTTTAAAATTATTAATAATAATTTTGCATACATTTAAAAGATTATGTTTGTTTTCTATCGTAGATGTGGGAAATTTTCAGTTAAAGCTTCGTGTAGGATGATGGAAGGAGGACCGGGTCATTTCCCGGATTGTTGTCCAAAACCTTACTGCCCAAAAGATGAAAGTGGAAGAAATTATATAAACATACATTGAAGTTTGCAATAATTTCAAGTGTTTTAAATCTAATATACTTCATGTATAATTAACTGTTAATAAATTTTTAAGTCAATTTTATTTATCTCTTTTGAATGACATATGTTAAAATTATTGATAGCATACACTATGGTGATAATGATAAGAATGACGCAGGAAAATATATTTATACTATAAAAGTCTAGGAAATTACAAACATTTTGCTCATGTTCTGAATATATATTAAGCATCATATCTTTTCCTAATATTAATATATAATTTTTAAATTTGTGGTCAGATATATTATAGTATATCTATATACTACCATAAAAAACTACGCATTATACCACTAGGGCGTTCTTTTACGGTTTCTCGCAACAAGTTAGTATCTTTTGTCTATTAACTATGGTTTTTTGTACATATTTTTTTCTTTATTTATTTATCCGTTGATTTCCAATTATTTATCGTCAGAAAAATAAATTTGAAAAATAGAGAACTATAAACAAAATAAGCACTTGATTTCAAATAATTTTAAGAATACTAATTCGGTGACATAGCCACACTATCTACGTTGATCATTGCGGTTGTGAAAATATTTAAATATTAGAGAACAAATTGTCTATTGTTTAATTGATAACAAAAATAAATCAGAAAAATTCATTTTACAAACTACTCTCCTGATGCGACTAACTGAAATTTTTTAAACAAATTTTAGGATGGGAGCTAAAACCGTCCTTAGTGTCCAAATTTCAGGACCCTATCACAGTTGGTTCCAGAATTTTAAGATATTCACGACAGCGTTCCGATACAAAGATGGACAAAAATTGCGAGTAAATACAAATGAAAAGTTTGATTTACTAATTTCTCCTTCCATTTATCATAGTGTACACTATGCTTACTGTTAATGTGCTAAAAAAATAAAGTAAAAACGCGAGATGGAAAGAAATACGTAAACAAAAATAAGTTAAAGGAATTAAAGGATATAAATATGCTTATTCTTATTCGTTCAAATCATTTTTAAAATTCGTGATTTTTAAATTAATTGTACTTTAAAACAACCTTCAATATTATTAATTATTTTTTAGCTTATTTTTTAATTCTTAAAGATTATATTATTATCCTTTAAGTAAAGATATCATAAAATTTATAAATGAAACGCCATTTTATAAAATTTTATAAAGGTAAGAGTTTAGGCTTCAGCAGTGATGTTAAGTATTTTAGGTGCATTAAGTTAAAACTTAAGTTCAGGATGAAAATATAAAGCGTAAAAAAAATAAATAAATATTTAAAAAATAATAAAAATATTTTCATCAAGCTTGAACAAGCTAAATAAAGTTGATTGGAAATCAAAAACTTATTTTAATTAGCAATTAAATGCGTCACGTAGATGTAAAAACTAATTTTTACTTTTCAATGCAAATAATCATTCACTTGGTCTTAAAGTTTTTCAGTTCTTTAATTGTGCAATTGTGCTAAATTATTAGCATGATTGCATCAAAAAATATTCACAAAATAAGCATGTTAACCTGATGAAAATTTAAAATATCGCCCATAATAATTCTACAGAAAAATTTTAAAATGGGATGGAATGTTCACATATGTGAATGGTGTTATACTATGTTGGTATATTTGATAGTTTTTCGTTGTCAGCAACTCAACACACTGTCACCCAACGAACACAAACAAATTTAGCATTTTATTAAGTCTGAAAATATATAATATTACGATATCATCACTTAATAAATAGAAAGTTTAAACTGTAGTAGTAATAATAGGTAGAAACTTGCTGCAGTAATAATAGGTCGGAACTTTCTGCAGTAATAATAGGCATTTACTTCATCCTCCCCTTCTTTTCATCTTCATTAGTGAGTTGGAAGTAAGCTGGTAGGAATGTATATATATCGAATCTGAAATTAATTTTAAAAAAATTATTTTTATTTATAACAGTGAAAGTATATTCAGTACATAAAAATATATTGAGGGTGGGCAAAACAAAACTGATCACTCTGAATAACTTTTGATCTAATGATCGGATCTTGCAGTTTTAGGACTGAATTTTAATGGTTTGAGTAGGTGACCTCAAATATGCTAATTAATTAGTACGGAGGATATTTCAAATTACGAAATAAAACACAAAATAGTACTTTCTCTGAATAAGCGTACTTTTTTTTTGACGGTTTCCTGATATTTTTGGATTTGAGGGATTATAAATCTCCTGATTTAGCATTTTCCATTACGCACTCTACCATTCCAGCAAGGTTATGGGTCCTGCTTGGTTAAGCTTTTGTTATCTTTATTAGAAGCAAGTTTATTACATCACCACTGGGTCGTTTAGAAAGATTTAGGATGGGCGAAAACGTTAGCAGTTCCATATTAAAATTTCCAAAGCTAAATATTTTCAATTACAACAGCTGTGAAATAAATATGAAGGTGCTACTCATCAATAAAGTTTTCTGGGAATTTTTGGTGGCACGAAGAAGCCATTATCAACTGATGCAACACACGCTCTGAGGAAATGTGAAAAACTCGGAGTTATTCTGCTATATTTCAAGGAATTGACAAGCAGTTCCAATCGCTGATAATCGACACAGAGGACGAGAATAGTTTGCAAATTAGTCATTGAGAAAAAGAAACAAATCAATGATACAGATTTTAAAATGCCTGAAAAGCTCACATGTTTTCTAATTAATTAGAAGATTGCCAGCAAATTATGATAATTTAGTTCAAATATTTTATAGCAGGGGTTTCCAACTTGCATGAAGATGAGGGCCACAATTAAAAACACAAATAAAATATCGGGCAGCAACTTCATCAAAATTTATCGTAGGACTCTTTTATGTTTGAAGGAATATTAAATATTACTGTCCTACTGTTACCAAGTTGTAGAAAACAAAAGTATTGAATTACAAATTAAAATGAGAAGTAGATTTTTAAAAATACTTAATTGTTACTAATAATATTTTCTAAAATATTAAATAAATAAAAATTCGGGCTACAATAACTTTAATGTGCACCAATGTGTTAAACAATTAATGTGCAACATATATCCAATTGTTAAGATATAAAACTATAAAAAGGTTGATATTGAAATTTACATAGTACCACACAAAATATTCAATGAGAAAATTGAGGTTTGTCTGCCGCTACTACCAGAGAATAGATATTTACATTTAAAATTTACAAATGTGTGCGAAATATTTTAGTCCAAAATGAGTGGTTTCAAAAAAGTAAAATCGGAGAATTTCTTCGAGAAAATTTCTGATACGCACATGCTAAGTTATATTCACAAAATACAAAAAAAATTAAATAAAAAAGAGCAACATACACGATTATTTCTGTATTTGAATAAATATTTTCTCGGAGGCAGAACCAGAAAAATAAATTTCTTTAGACTGTTCACAGAAACGAGGAAATTGGTTTTTATTAACGAAAAAAGTATTTAAAACACATGTAGATTTCTTACGAAAATTGTCCACAAGAAAATGACAACTAATATATTTTAGTTCGCGGGCCACACAAAAAAGCTTCGCGGGCTGGATGCGGCCCCCAGGCCGCCAGTTGGAAAACTCTGTTTTATTGACTAGGAGATAAGGATTTTATGATTTCAAATGTATAGAAAAAGAGCTCCTAATCGAATCTGGAAGGATATAAACAAAGCAGAGAAACAGGGTTAGTTACCCGATGCTTATGCTACTTCATCTACTAAAAAGCAAGCCTATCAGAAGTTGCATGTAAATAGAAACAGTTATCGCTTCTTGGGCAATGATAAAACTGGAAATTATAATACTGGCAATGATAATACTTGCAATGAAAAAAAATTATACAAAAAGTCATTAATACGTGTGCAACAACAGAAGTTAAAGTTATAAAAATCAGCAAGTTAAGAGAAAAATTAATGGTAATGGTAAATGGTACTTACGGGATCATTCACCGTTGGAGGGGTATGTCCTGATATTGGAAAAATCTTTATAGAGTCAGTAGTTATCAGAAAACAGAAAATTGCAAGAGTCAAAAATATTATGTATTGAAACATTGTCGGTTTCCTTTTTTCTCTCTAAATACCACAACAATGGTCTGCAAAAATGAAAATTAATGCAAATGTTGGCAACAACAGACATTGAAATAATAATCAAACAATAAAATATCTAAATAATAAACAGTAATTAAATTGATGATGTCGAATTATAAAATAAATAGTAATTAACAATATGATTGTTGAAGTCAATAATGTTATGATGGTTGAATTAAATTTTAATAAAATTGTTAAATAGGATTGATACTATAAATAAGAATAGAATTGATGAAATAAATACTAGTGGAATTGATAACGTAAATAATAGGACAATTTATGAAACAAATACTAATACTATTGATAAAATAAATAATAATGGAATTGATTAAAATATTATGCTATTGAGGAATAAAATAATAATACAATTGATAAAATAATAATAGAATTGATAAAACAAAAAATACCGATTGATGCACTAAATAAAAATGTTGTTAAAAATATGTGATAAATACAATAAGTAACACTAAAATTGCTTGAATAAATAATAACAGGATTTGCTAGACTTAGTGATAATCGTTTACATCTGATAGAAGATATTGATTCAGCTGATTGCTTTATGCGCCATCGAATTCATATGGATTGTGACTACCTCAAAAATTGCCCTATAGTTTCGAACTTTATTATAATCTACTAACTCTATGAAACTTATTCTTAAGCCATGCTTTTATCATATCTCGTCATTTTGTTGGGCTACTTGTTGACAGCAGACGTCATCGCAACTGCGTATATTGGATCAAGCAAGAAATATTTAATGATAATATGATTGGTAAAATTAATAATAATTCCATTTTTAAAATAAGCAATGGTAGCATTGCCAGAAATGTTATTTGACATGTCTCCAAATTGACGGAGTTATGTTTAGGCTCAAATAAATATTTTTCTGAAATATTAAGATCGCTAAAATAAATAGTTATAAATAATGTTTGCAATTATAATGTAATTAAAATAATATACATCAATAGTTTTCATAAAATAAAAAGTAATAGAACTTATTTAAAATTGTAGAATGATTGATAAAAAAATTACTAAA